AGTTTGTTGTCCATTCCCCACAACTCCAATTAGCATGGTTGACTACGTACATTGCGAAAAATGTTCAACATACCAACATCCTTCAAAATAGAAAATTCTGCTAAAATGTTTAGTTTGCTTATTATTTTTGGAGCAATGTACTCATTGGCGGAAATTAAGTTGTGCACGGCCTGCACATTATGTTGTAGGGTCTGCAACTGTCAATACACAGCTGAGTTATATAAAACAAAACAATAATAATGCCAATAATAATAATACTTAACAGCCTTGTGTGAATATAATGCTGGATGAAGACTTGACAGTGAAACACGCTTTGGTATTTCCCTACACAAATGTCTAACAATAATATGGCCCGTGCATATAAAAGCACACGATACATTTCCAGTGATACAGTACGCCAACATCTGTTTTGTTGGTCAAATTGTGAACTGAAAAATGCCGACTATTGTGGTCGGGTTTCACACGCTGCTTGCATTACTAAACATTCCACATTTTTTTGGTTTTATAAAATGGTCAAGAAGTGCAGGAACCGCAGAATGTGAGGATTTCCGAAATGCCCACTAAGGGTGTGAAGAATTCATGGAGAACATTCAACTGCTGCTCTGTAATCTCTGCATCATTTCAATAAGCTGAAGCGGCTGTTGATAAATTAAGCAAGACACCAACACAACAAAGATTAAGATGATGCTTCGACGCTACTCTGCATTTGATAGCTTGCCTTCGTCTGGCAATTTGACAAGCGTACGTTTCCGCTGACTCCTCGTGATTTTAAAACCATCTTTGTTGGCTTCACTTTGCATGAATAATACTGTGATATCATTTTAAAATTATCATTGTACTATATTATCATTGCTAACGACAATATGAATAAAACGAGGGGTTTTAACGGGAGAGATCCTCCGCCGTACCATCCTATTTTCTTGGATCCTATTAATCACGAGGGCACAGGGATCGTCTCTAAGATTCCAATGAGTCATTGCACAGCTGCACGGCAGTTTATGAATGGGGTTTCCATGCCGCTGTGAAGCATTCAAGGGGCCACGGCAAACTGCCCTTTTTAAAGGATTCTGCAACATGGGTGAACCCGGGGGTGGGGGGGTAGAGGACAATGTCGCATATCCGACCATCACATATCTTCCCCTTTCCAATTAGCCAACCACAATCGGCGTAGAATCCGCGCAGAGTGTAACTGTCATTCCTTATAGACATTCATAAAGATGACGTTTTCACACCGAGTAACGTATTCTTAATATTGCGTACATTTGCTTACATACGTACATTATATTACTACATGAAAGCATGCTCTCGCGTTGGTCACCCCGTGGTGCCCTTATAAAACTCAACGTTTAACCTACTCACGCCGGCTTGTGCCCGCCCTCACAGTCGGCCATATTTGCAGAATACACCACGCCGCCGTTGACCCTGGCCATTGACCGAGCAACCCAACGTTCCTACCAGCTCCCTCCGCAGGAATGTGTTAAAGAATCAACTGCACTTAGTGGATAGTATTCACTGAAGGGTTTACTTATGAAGCGCTGTATATAAAAGTCCTCATTTACAAACCATTTTCATGTAGATTTTACATAGAAATTCAGTGAATGCCACATGGTATACAAGTTAGAATGTGCAATCAATTTTCATTAGGCAGCACTGCTGAAATTAATAAAAAGTTAGTTTATATTCAGAAGGTAGAGGCCAAGTGCTGTTAACACGATGATGATAATTTCACACTGCGTCAGATGTTGGCCAAGGGCAGGCACCGTCGAGGTTCAGATCACACTTGGAGCTCATGTTACCCATGGCTGGGAGCCGAACACAGGTCACGGAGTTCACGGCAGCACCATCGCTATACATATCTTCTTCTATCTCCTTATATATAAAAGGGAAATTTGTGAATATGTGTGTCTGTTCAAAATGTTTAGCGTACTTCCCGACATGCAACAAACTTGAAATTTGCCATGTGGGTACTTTCCAGATTGTACACCATGCTAAAATTATAAAAATAGACTTTAATATTTTGGGGGGGGGGCGCAATAATGCATATTTTTTGCACGGCAAGTGAGCTGTGATGTCACATCTGTCATGTGACCCACGCATGTGGAAGCATAACGCATTGTAGTGTAGTGCTTAGCGCGCTGCGCTACGAACCCAGCGACCCGAGTTCGATTCCCGCTCACGGCCACCACCGGTGACGATTATTTCAAACGGTCCTGGGCCTCCCCTAGGTCGACTCAGCTTCAAATGAGTAACTGGTGTGGTGTGTGAACATCGCCACTGGGGGGACAAAGGCGGCCGGGCGTGGTGAATCCAAGTCCCGGGCGAAGCCGGGTAGTAAAGCTAGTAGCATATAAATTAATAAACATTCATCCATACCGCCTACACACGTCCATAAGCGGGTGTCATTCCCCTGCGGGTAATTAGTCGATGCATTACTGTGGTTGCTATGACTTGTGGGAATAGGGCACCCAGAGCAGCACAACTAAGTGTAGCAACGTCTATTTCTTCTTCATGTGGCTGGAGAAGCAGTTTTAGTTTCATGTTGAGGTTAGCAATCCATTCAACAGCTACAAGTGAGGCAGTGTCAATGGCCACGATGCCACCGGGAATGGATCTCTCCGGGCCAAGTGTTCAGTACGCAGGCGATCGTCTGACTTGGGTGGTGGCCACGGTAACAATTTAGGCTACTCCTCACATTCCACTTGTGGAGTAAGTGGCCGCATCATTTTCCCTGGCCCTGTCCTCGAGCGGTCGAGGGTTGTCCAAGTTTTTCGTCGAAAGTTGAACCCTCGGGTCAGTTACCAGGTTGCGATTGGTGATGTTTGCAGTTAACCAGGAGTTGTTAGCAACAACGTGCTTTTACGCACTTAATGGCCAGGGTTATTCTCCAGGGTTCAATGCAGAATGTACTCAGTTTGCCACTGGCACGGGAACCATCCGGGACCAAGTAGAGGACTGTATGGCAGTGACAGTGAAATTATTGTTTCCAAGCAGTTGCAAATGTATTCTCAAACGTATGTTATTGTAATTAACAAAACCAACTGTGAATGCAGCATATGTATTTATTTAAAATTGATTTGCATCCAGTGGTGAAGTATGGTCAAACAAACTTCCATGACTTGGACGGCATAGGGAGGCCATTAAAATGTGGATGGATGTAACGCCTAGACATGACTGCACCTCCAATTAGCACGGTTGGCTATGTATGGTGCGAAAGCAGTTCAACATACGTGCGTGGTGTGGGCACAATGGAAACATTTATATTATACGGAGGCAGTCATGGTAAAAATAGGTTGCCAAGGTTGTCTTAAATGTGGTGGCAAGGAATAAATATCCCCATTATGCAAAACATTTACACAGAGCAATGCCACTGCATTTGTGCAAAATGCATTGCGTATTAATATAACAATAGAGGAACAATTCACCTCCCCTGCTCCCACAAATTTACCCTCTTTGAATTGTCACGATTCATGGTTGCAGTTCAATCCAAAGAGAACATTCAGTTTGCAGGGGTGACGTGAATCCATCAACATACAACAAAAACGAATCGAAAAAGGTTCATTATTACACCCCAATTAAGCACACGTATTGCGAGCTTCCAAATACATTTCCTTTACACAATTTAAGATAATTTTAACGTGGCTTTTCCAACCATCTTTAACTTAAACTCTTATTTAAATATTTTTTTGTCAAAATAATTAACATCTCGGTGTGTATAAAGCCTCTGTTTTTGCAAATCCTTTTCCAAAAGAGACAACATCATGTGAGATTAGCTGCCTGTATCTGTGCACTGGATGCTTACAGTAATCACTTCACAGTAGGAGGGCAAACGGACTTTGCTTCATTAATTTCTGGCTGTGGAGGAACTTTCCCTTTCTCACTCAATTTGTAATCCCAAGCCAGAAAACAAAATTCAGAAGATTCCCACTCAATCGGTCCTCTACGACCGTACTGAACACTCGCTTGAACAATGTAAATGTTAATGCTCGTCATCATTACATTATACCCAACTAAACCGGAAAAGGTAAAGTTTCAGCAGTGCAATTACTTGCTCATGCCGATAACCTTTCAATAAGGTATCTTGGTCTATTCTTCCACACTGGTGAGACGTCTTGAAAGAGGGGGGAGTACTCACACTTTCCCTCACCAAATGAAACCTCCCAATCGACGAATTGTGGTGTACCCATTTATACTGCTCGGAGGACAGAGGTGAGTGGATTTAAGAAAAATTGTTTCAACTGCCGTGTTGGAAGATGTAACTGCCAACCTCTAGATTGCAAGTCCAGTGTGCTAACCATCATAATATGTACTCTTTGGTTCTTTCGGTAAAGTCACGTAGGTAGAAAAATAAAACAAAACTAAAAATAACATATTGATTTGAAGCTTTCGTGACTGCAGGAATCCATACTCTTTGGTTCTTTCAGTGACTTTACCGAAAGAACCAGAGTATAACTCAACATCCTAATATGGCACCAACTCGCCTAATCTGTCTCTTATATTATAGATCCGTGTTGCAACTATCTACTGTGAAATATTGAACTGATATTTAAAAAAAATAAGGGTTTATTTCTGAAACTTAATATTTGTCTTGTAATATTGTACTGTTGTGTTTATTTTTGCTGAACATAATTATGTATTTGCCTTTATAACCTAAATATTTGCTCTTAAAATAGATTTGTAGTCTCAATGTCAGAACCTCCGATGAGCATGGTTGGCTACGTATGGTGCGAAAAAAGTTTAACATACATACGTACATATGTGAGCAATCAGCACAGACATAATATACACGGAAACCTCACTAAAGTGAACGAAGATTATTATATGGAATGGCTACGAGAAAATAAATTATCTCCAGAATAAGCAAACTATTGTTTAGTATGAAATGCAGTGATAATGAAACAATTGTGAAAATCAGGGTCATGAACATACATCTCAATCGTAAACATAAAGATACATTTTACATTTCAGTCAGACGATTAAATTAACCGTAACTTTTTTATTACCTGAGAGGCAGAGGAGAGGATGCAGGCTGAGAGAGCGTGAGAGAATCGTGTGGAGAGAGCTGAAAGCAAAAACACCACAATGCATCATTAATCACAGCAAATGACCCATGGACTTGGACACTCGGAGTGTTATAAAACGATCATAAAACGATTGCAGTGTTCGTCATACGAGAACGCCGGTCTATTATAAAGCCGACTGTATCATGAACCCTCCCTTGCCGGTATCAAAATATAAGAATAGGTTTTACCCTTTCTGGCAATAAAACAGTTGTGTTAAGATGTTAAAACAGCAAACAGAAACCTTTTTCGATTTAAAGCTTTCGTGACTGCAGGGATTCATCTTCTTGTTTCTTTCGGTAAAGTCACGTAGAAGGGAAGTAATAAAATAATAAAAATAAAACATAATAAAACAATTCTCACGACGTTTCGGCTACAACGCAAGCAGCCGTTCTCGTATGACGAACACTGCAATCGTTTTATGTCTCATTCTTCACCTGAAGACGGCTGCTTGCGTTGTAGCCGAAACGTCGTGAGAATTGTTTTATTATGTTTTATTTTTATTATTTTATTACTTCCCTTCTACGTGACTTTACCGAAAGAAACAAGAAGAGAAACCTTTTTGCAAGGAATTATGTCTGCATTAACCACATATACTTGTGGTGAACATGCTACAAAACATGCTCTGTTTTGTGTTTGCATGTTCACCAGAAAGAGGTAAAACCTATTCTTATAAGCTGACTGTAATTACAAAAAGTAAATTTTTTTATCCAAAATTGTTGTCATCAATACGCTTAAGTATATAAAAGTTATTAGCAAAGTACATATATGCATTACTGTATTCTTACATCTCCATTCAATTGGTTAAAACATGTGCAATGCAGACATGACAGTTCCAAAATATATATATTGGGCAAGGGCAGAACATAAAAACACAATGACATCTGGAAAGATAATCTGTTCATTTGCAAAAAAGTTTCCAAGGTGGATGATAATGTGTGCCAATGCTTATAGGATGCTGCCATGGGGTAATGATTAGCACAAGAGCAGTTGAAACACATGGCCCTGCCTCTGTCCACCCAGCAATATAAATAGGTACAACACCGTTCGTCCATCGGAAGGCCGTGTGTCGTAGGGCAAAGTGTGGGTACTTCCACTTTTTTCCACGATATCTGGTCAATTGCACGCCTAGTAAAAAAATACACATTTTATCTTAAGGGTTACATTATAATTGCGGTTCTGAATATGCTTTTAGATTTTCTAGGAGCTAATGATGCTGCTCTCACCTGCACTAAGATGCGAGGTCTCTGGGGCGACGGAAACGGCGTGTTGTGCATGAAGTGGGAAATGTGTCTGAAAGAGACAACAAGCCACAACGCACGGTTAATTCTGCAGCAGAACATCAAGTTACCGCACTAACAGCGGTGATCAAGAATGAGAAATAAACAAACAACTAAATACAAATAAACACTTCTCATAGACACCGCCCGAACAGTAACTGTGGGGCTGGCCGGCCTGGTCACAGTTTACTACGCTCGATCGAGATGGATCATTTGGGAAGGAGGGCAATTGGACCCTTTGCCGGTCGAGCGCAATAGTAGCAGCAATACTATGAGACCTCTTTACCAGTAGCAAGATATAGTAATAGGTTTTTACCCTTTAAAAAAATGTATTACTATATATTACTATATATTACTACTGGTAAAGGATGTCTCATAGTGGAAATGCTTACCCCGAGCTCTCAATACTCTGATAGTGCGCTGTTTTTGAGTTGTACGCCTTTTGGCGTTATCTGGTCCAAGGACAGTGCATATCATTATCATTATCAGAGTTGTTTCTTTTTGTTTGCATTTTGATTGCTTGTGTTGTGGTTATTGCAAACATGATCCCTTGTATAAAGGTGTCAGTTTTTTGTACCAGAAAAAAGGGTAAAAACCTATTACTAGTAGCAGCAATTTCTAGAGCTAGACGTCACCGTGGCCAAAGGCGCTGAATGCCACCACAGCTCGCTTCCAACCTTTCTACCCCCTGCTAGATCCGCCAGCTGCTGCCGCCGCTTCTGCACAGTAAACACGTGACCTACGAGAGGCGCCCAAACAGTATCCCTCCCCCCACCATGTGGCCCTATGTCTACCCCTTGTTCGCCAGATTGATATACAGTGGTACCCCGGAGATCGAACTTAATTCGTTCCAGAAGGCCATTCGAACACCGATTTGTTCGAGTTCTGGTGTGTTCGATCTCCGAGGTTCTACTGTACACCACTACAACGCATGTGGTAGCAACTCACCCAATGCCTGTAACTCCAACAGGCATTGGAGTAAACAGTACACACCAGAGGTGTGGACTCGAGTCATGTGACTTGGACTCGAGTCAGACTCGAGTCATGAATTTGATGACTTCAGACTCGACTTGGACTTGCATAACAATGACTTTGTCCCACATCTGAGATGTGGACTCGAGTCATGTGACTTGGACTCGAGTCAGACTCGAGTCATGAATTTGATGACTTCAGACTCGACTTGGACTTGCATAACAATGACTTTGTCCCACCTCTGGTACACACTAGAAAAATATGACACAGTAAGTTGACATTTCTGCTAATGGTCCTTCCTCCTTCCTTCATCATCATCACGATCCATGGGCAGATAGGTCGTAGGTGTCCACTGCACATGTCGTCATTTGTTTCCACTTCCATCTATCTTGTGCTAAGATGCTCAAGTAGTGCACATCTTTCCGGCACCAATCTCTTACGTCCTTCCTTAGGGCATTCTTTTTATCAACACTAGTTACTTTTACTTTGAATCCTTTTTTCACCCGTGATTTGACTTTCTCAGGGTTTGTTTGATGCTCAGGGTTTGCGAATAGAGAACTGATCGTTGTTGACATTTAGCTGGGGGAATAAAGTCAGTAACACTGCTCTGCCATCTCAATGCTATGTAGGAGGGCCAAAAACTAACATTACAGTCTAATGCATATTTTCTAAGGCAGTGTTGTTTTTTTTCTTTCATTTTATGATGGAAATATATATATTAAGCAGTCAACAAGAAACCTGCATATACTCAATTACACCTTCATATGTTAAACATAACAGGAAGCACATTTTTATTTTCCACTGTGGCATTAAATGATGTGGAAATATGAGAATAATATTAATGCGAGTTAATAAATAAGGCAATGATTCACAAATTTGTAATCAAAATACAGTAAACGGGAATCATTCAACTAACAGCACATGCAAGGTCCAATTCTGAGTACACTTCTTACCAACAGTGCATTTACTATGTTTGTTTAAAAAAGCATGCAACACTTCACGCCTCAAACTGCTTTCCATCACGGTTCAAAACGTCTCCCTCTCTGCTCAAGCGATTATTCTGCAAGAAAGCATGTGTCCATTCGCGTCGTGCAATTAAACTAGCCGAGAATTTGCGGTTCATGTCAATCGAACCGATAAGCTTGCACATTATACGACACGCATGTGAAAGCTCAACATCTCATTACACAACTACAAACGATATGCTCTTCTTCCGGCTGTAAACACGAGGCCTGAGCAAAAACAAAACGCGTCGCTGAGCGGCCTCACTTCTCGATGGGGATGAGGTTGGGTCCAGACACGGAGAGGCGATACAGGAAGAGCAGGAACTTGTGAAACGCTTCAAAGAAGGGCCAGTGCGACAGCAGGCAGATGCTCTTGCTGGCATGTGCCACCTTGCCAGCAATGGGCTTGTGGTCCACGGCGCTCAGCATCCCCAGCTGCGTTTTCTGGCGATCTGTCAGGCGCTCGCCCGGGTACGCTTCGAAGAACTGGATTGCGGCACCGTAGACCTGTCAAGTGAACCAAGTGGAGGGGACATGTGTGTGTGTGTGAGCATTCAGGGAACACGTGCGCTATTCACAAACACTAGGGCCTCATTTTACAGCTGCCTCCTCTCTTGTGATTACAATTCAGACTGGGTGCCAAAATAAGGCCACGTGACAGCATGGAGTCCCAAGAAAATTTCCACGGCGAACTTCAGGTTATTCGAGTCCAATTTAGACATTTAAAAAAATAGCAAAAAACGTAATCTCCATGCGATGTGCATTTCCTAATTTCTCAGAATAACTCGGCGTTTATAGTTGCGACTGTCATTTTGCACACTTGTATCTGCAAACCACTTGGGCTTTCTTCACAGTAGGTGCAGCATTAACTAAAAGTGCGCAAAGCACATAGCCATGGAAAGTAATGCATGACTTGTGAGGCGATGAGAGAACATTCTTGACCTTTCATGCTTGAATAAAGAGGAAACCAAAGTGCAGTCACGATTAAATGTTGATGCTAATGCTCTCTACAGAATCAGACTCTTTATTTATACTGGAGGAATCCAATAAGCCATAAAGCTCTTTTTCACAGATGTCCAGTTAGCGTGGGTCAGAAAGTTACAACAACAAACAATATGAAAACACAATAGGAGTGAAAAATATAGGAAAGGTAAGCAAATCACTAAAAAATATACATCTATATATATCTGTGTTTATTTTACCAGGTAAACCAGACTGAGATATTAGCTTCTTTTTCAAAAGTGACCTGGCCAAGAACGGTAGCTCACCAAAGTGGCATATCATGTCTAAATGTATAGCAGCTAAATAATCGAAATTATCTCAATGCATGCTTACAAATGTGGAGGGAAAACCAGAGGACCCAGAAACAAATAACTTTGCTCATGATTATGGTCAGAGAAAGCATAAATCCCCCCCAACATTTCACAGCCTTAAATAAACAAATAAATAAAATATGTATGGAAGAAAAGGCTTTATATCAAAATTTAAAACACTCGTTTCTAGGTATAATTCGTTTGGATATAAAATAATACCGTGCGTATTGCACTGCAATTACTATTTTTAAAAATATCCTCTCCTCTCTTATTCACTACAAATATAGGTAATTACATTTCAAGATTCAGGTAAACACCGTCACAAAAAACCTTTACATGCACCTGCAAAGAGTATTTATTTTTAATGGCGCAAAGCCAACACTGTCAAAAATGAAAAACACTGTAAAAACTAAGATATTAATACTCTTTCAGAAACATTTCTACTCTTTGCCGAGTTTGTTTAATGTTGGAATATAATTTTTTTAAAGATGTGGGGAGGATAGTGACACAATGGAATGAACCCAAGCTTTGGCTAACAGATGTAACAGGCTGCGCACAAGTGCATTCTTGTGAGTCTAATGACCCAGTGGAAGAGACTGCAGCCAAGAAAATCAAACTCAATTCCCATAATGGAAATAATTATCCGACCAAAGAACAATGGGCAAGACAGGACAGTGTAAAAATGTACAATAAACTACAATGTTTAAAGATTACTAAAGATTTATTAATTCAATGTAACGTTTATAACTCGGACACATTTCACCCGTACGATAACCGAGGTATTGTTTTATTTGTCGGTTTTAGAAGATTCACATGAATAAACACCCACAAATATGTCGTTCATGGTGTACATATGCATCGGGACACCCATAGAATCTAACAGCTCATTGGAGTCTTTCCGCTGAAATTAACTAAAATCTACAATCCGTAATATAGGTTTTTTTGCGTTAGATCGCGTAAATACATAAATGTGTCGTTAAACCCACCACCACCCAACACAGCCAATTAGTAAGATTTGTCACGTAAACAGAACATGCCAATTCGTTGCTAGTACAGCACACAAATGTGTTGGAGAGCAAAGCGACAACATTTACAATCTCCAACACACCGGTGCACTGTACTAGTAACGAATTGGCATGTTCCGCTTACGTGACAAACCTTACTAATTCGCTGTTGGGTGGTGACGGGTTTAACGACACATTTATACATTTACGTGATCTAACCCATTCCTAAAGTACTAGGCAGTGATGCCAAACTCTCTGGTCGCTGGGAGAAGAAGACTTACGTTTTTTTATATTCACATTGGAAAAATTGTTCTTCAATTAATGATAACTCTCACAATTTTCTGTAAAAATACAATTCGCCTGAACTTACTGGCTCGCAACGTGGAAAAAACAAAAATTAATTCAAGAAGTGGCCAATTGGCTCAGAGGCCAAATACCACATCAGTGTACTCAGCCAGCACCACTCTGAGATCCGGGGTTCACGTCTGGGAAACCACCCATGATTAAAGCAAAATGTGGCGATAGAGTGCGTTGGCAGTTGAGGACAAGCGCAAATAACAAAAAAAACTCAACACATGAATCCATAACGCTGCCTTTAAAAATATTAATATAAGAGGTTACATTTTGAGCAATATCCCTGTCTTCACAGCACATTGAGAGGCCAGAGGGGGGTAAAGCAGGCTCTCAGGGGCAGTGATAAACTAAAACTATTTTGTATTTTACCAGGAGAGGCTCACTGAGTTATAAAGCTCTTTTTCAGAAGCGACCTGGCCACAAATGATATCTCAACGAAGTGGCTTATCACGTGGAAATGTATAGCAGCCAAATACTCTAAACACATGTATCTAAATGTGGAGGGTAAAAAAAACCATAGGACCTGGGGAAAAAAATCCACGCAACAACGGGGAGAGAGAACATGCAAACTCCAAATATACAGGTGTCAGGGTCGGGATCGAACCCCTGACTTCCTGCACAGCAGGCATTGGCCTCAGCCCACTCATCGATGACTGCTCAAAACTCCCATTGTATTAAATTAGATTTTTGACATAATTTGCCTTGTACAGCTGTGAGGATGAAACAGATATTTGGGCCAACTGAAATGCAAAGAAGACTATTTAAACTCTAATAATAATACAATAATACAAATTGCATGTTCCTGCTGTGGCTGAAGAGATCTAATAAAGAAACATGACTGAAGGAACGTGACATCATTGTCTGGGCCATTCCACTTACACAGGGTAGTGCACAATTAGCGAGGAGAGGTTCAACAAGAAAGCTTGTTGTTGAATGTATGTTGAACTTCTTTCACACCGTATGTAGCCAACAGTACTAACTGGAGGTGAGGGGATGGCATTACTCCAGAAAGCGTTGGAAGACCATGTTGAGCAGGGTGCGGTCCGTGGCCTGTTAGGAACCGGGCCGCACAGCAGGAGGTGAAAGCGGTGAGCCCGCGCGTGGAACCAGCCCGTTATTTTATTATTTACCACTTCCATCCGCGCCTCTTTCCCACACTGTGCACTTGTCTCAGTCACAGTGTTGGTAAGCCCACAAGCTCTAACCCTAGTAGCCAAAATGAGTTAAAAAAACAAACGTCGCTGGAGAGCTTCTTTGAAAAGGGGGAAAGACCCAATAATGAACCCCCCCACCCCCCGGTCCGTGAAAAAATTGTCTTCAACGAAACCGATCCCTGGTGCCAAAAAGGTTGTGGACCGCTGATGTAGAGGACAAAAGAGAAGAATTGCGATTCCACACACGATGCTCACCTTCTCAGCAGAGGAGCCAGTGAGCACAAACGTGGAGAAGATGGGCATGGGGTACTTGGTGTTGGCCTGCCAGCATTCAATGGTGGCACCCAGGGGGAGGCAGAAGAGCGGAACCGACTCTGGCAGCTGGAACGACTCGTAGTCTCCGACGGGGTACCTGCTGATGAGCCCTGGAACAAAAAACCCAAGTGAGGAATCAATATGTCCATGCTGTCGGGGTTTTCGTCGCCACACTGCACAACCTGAAGTTGGTACATTTTCATACAACGCGTGTTTTCATGACGCGAATTGGATATAACGCAATTAATGTATTAGGGAACGCATTTTTATAACGCGGATGCGAACTGGATATAATGTGATTGTGTGAACAGAACTACTTTGCGCGAGTAGGAACAAGCAGTTGTACGGCTGCCTCGGCGTAACATCACACAAGGCGGGCTGGATGCTGCTGGATGCTTCTAGATGCTACCGACGCGCCTCAGTTTTTGTCCACTCTGCATACGCATCTCGTGCGTTATCGCGGACTATGCGTTACCCAATATTATTTACTATAACGCGATTTTCCCATAACGCAGTCTTCTTCAGGAACGCAACTACCACGTTATAGGAGGACGGACTGTATATGAATGATATTAAGGTGCTGACTGAGTGATATGGAAAACCAGTCGGGCAGGACAATCCAAGACCCGGCCAGAACCACCACTATACTCAATATTATGTGTGTGGATACTGAGCATTTATAATGTTTGCATGATGAAATTTAATAGACAACTACAAACGAGGCAGTAAAGGAGTAAGTAATAAAATGTACTTTAATAATGTGTGCGTTCATATTATTATTTTGCATGATAATTTCACACGACAAAATTTGAAAGGCATTTATTTATAACTCAAACAACAGTTAAAAAGGCATTGGTATGGATGCCTGGATGCCATAGGCATCCATCAGCTTCAACTTGTCTTGCAACTATGTTTATAATAACGTTTATAATAATTGGCCATCAAGGTTGGATTAATCTATGCTTTGTTTAAACCCAAGTCACCCTGAATGTGCCTCATCTCATTAGACCTCCGCAGCTGAGCAGGTAACTTTTGCAGTCAACCAGACGGCACGTCTTGACTTTACACAACGATGGATTTCTGGGAAATCCTGCTGCAAACTGCACTGGCCTTGTTTGAAAGTAATTTAAATACACCCATCACGACAACACACGCGACGCCATACCGGCCTCATACATCTTTATACTATGTTTTCCTCATTTAGATAGTTTCCTTTCATTTATCCTTAAAATCCACTGGAAATGGAAAGAAGCTATGATTTGCGGGGCGTGGGCACTTCTGAAAAAGAAGCTCATAGCTCAGTGGGCTTTGCCTGGTAAGATAAAAAAAAGTTTATTTTTATTTTGTATATTTTTTTCAGAGATTTGCTTACATTTCCTATACTTTGCACTCCTATTGTGTTTTTCTATTGTTTGTTTGTTTAACTTTCTGACCTGCCCTATTGGACATCAATATGAATAAATATTCTAATATAATAAGTAATGGTGTGTAAATTAGTCAAAATAAAATAACATGAAACGATATAAGTACAGTACTGTTGCGTTTCAAGGACAATGTATATATTATCAGAGTATGTTTTTTGTTTGAATTCTTACCACAAGTATTGTGGTTAATGCAGACATTATTCCTCGTAAAAAGGCTTCAGTTTAGTTGCCAGAAAAAAGGGGAAAAACCTATTCTTAAATTTTGGTACTGGCAAAGGAGGTACCATGATGAAATAAGCCTGTGTCACCACCGCCTTACAAATTGCACACGAATGGATGCAATGAATATGATGTCGCGGTCTGCTTTTCGCTTAAATGTTTCAGATTTACTGCAATACACCCGTCCTTGGACGGGCTATAGGCGAGTTATAAATAGTCATATGTCACCACAATATTAAAATCTTGTAAATGTTTGATGTTTACGAAAAGGTACGCCGGGATAGACAGTAGTTTTTTGTTATAAGAAAATAACAAAAAAACAGTAGATCCAAAGAATGAGAAGCTGTATACATAGAAATATCCTTGGAAAATCACTTGTGCAATTCAATATCCTTGACTCAACAGGCCAAAGTCTAAACACTGGAGTGATAAGGTGCTCACTTTCAATATACTTTTTTCAAGAGCCTATGAGTAATGAGTCATATTAAGACACCAAAAATGTGTGTTCAAAGTAGCTGGTAGTAAAAAAAATCCAATTCAGTTTGGGTAATGGTAAATAATATCTTACTATCAAATATGAGATTGCAAAGGTCTCGAACAAACACATAAAAGGATATGATGCACTTGTTATTTTCCCAAATAAATCTTCTGGTTTGAAGCAGCAATGAAACTGCTGACACGTTCAAACTGGGTCAGTGGTAAACAAGAAAACAACTGTGCTCAAAATTGTCACCAGATTTCGTGTCAGCCAAGTGTATTTGAGCAGAGACTGTATAATTACATTTTCTAATGAGCACTGTGCTTCAACTTTTTCCAAAAGGGTGGCCCAGTTCAGATATACTTTTATTTTTCTGACGTATACGAGGATAGGTTCAAGAAACACTTGAGTTAAGAGCACACACGACACGTGCATTAGGCACACCAAAACCTTTACGGGGCCACTCAATACAAGGCCATTGATGTGTGGCAAATGTTCCACTATCGTACCACATGTGCTCTTTGACCAACCAAAATTAAAGTAATTGCCATTGGACTGAAATGTTTTGAGTATGTCTGGCTACATATGACCAACATTTCTGGCTCCACAAGCATTCATTCTTGTAAACGTGCGTAATAATCCCCCAGTGATAATTCAACAATAACAGCCAGGGTAGAAAGTTTGCCAGGCTCAGCCATGCTCCGACTCGAAACAGATTTTCATCAACGCTGTACTTATGAAAATATTTGGTGATTTGGACTTTTTTTTACAGTCTTTTGGCATGACACATACCTCACAAAATTATAAACACACGTATTTTCATTATCATGTTGCTTGGTTATCAAATCTCAAGACTCTTTTAAAGCACAGTTCTGCCAAATTGTTTACAGCAGGGGGCAATGTTACTACGTGTAATCCAAATGTAATCATCAAGGTAACGTTTTAGCATTGGAATATTTAAACAATACCAATTACATTGCATTTTTTAAAAATTTCGCTATGAAAAAAACCTGGAAAACCTGGAATAAATCCATGCAGAATATGAGAGCGTACACAGTCCACGTAAAAATGCATCCGAGAGGAATCAAACCCAGGTCATTCTTGCTATGAAGCACAAGTGTGAACAACGATGCAACCCTGCCACCTACTTCCATATCTTAGGTTGACTTAAACCATATTTGAAATTTACTGACAATGTCCATGGTAATACGTTTTTGTCTTAGAAATAAATGCGTTTCTCTACTTCCATTCCAGGATTCCTAAACATAACCTCAGCTGCAAAACACAAGATTGATGGTATAATGCATGTTGTGTTACAAACATCACTAAAATATTAATACGTTTGGCTGAAACAACAAGACACAGGATTTGCATGAGCCACTACACCCACGGGAAGAAAAGACAGTTAAATAGATTCATCTTCCCTGAGAAATCCTTTCAGTTTCAGGTGAAATGATTCAAAATTCGGTTTGAAAAGCACCTTTTTGCATTGTTATTACATTTATTTTCGGCTTACACTGTCTCGATAACCCCATTTCATATCAGACTTTTTTTTCAATATCAATAAACATACTGTTAGTCGGGCAGTAAGCTCAGAGCCATGTGCTTTAACTCATACAACGCATGATCTATTAATGTTCTATAAAATAATATCTATAGCTTTGTTTGTTCTCCCCCCCGTTCTGCATGGGTTTCCTTCTGGTCCTCCTGATTTCCCCCATCCAAAAAAAACCATCAATCTTTGTTAAAATTAGCAAAACAAATCTCACATATCACTCACATAGGAATCATCAGAATATTGTCCATTGGCGACCAAGGTGCTCAGTCACCTTGTCCTGCATAGGGGTGAATGTCACTAGGGAGGATCTGCGCTTTGAGATGCTACGTGACACAGAGCAATATAAATGGAAACTCCCTCGTTGAATTGCATTTGTAACGTAAATGTCAGCACATGTAATGCTTTTGTGCAAATGTCCTGTTACAGACTTTTCACATCCTAGAATACTTTTGAACAAAATACGATTTGAGTGGGCTCTCACCTGCTTCTAAATTAAAGACTCGTGTTTATTTAATAACCTCAAAAAAAACAAGTGGGATTTGCTTCATGTATATTTTCATGATGCAGTTTTCTAGAGGGCAGAGGCATTTCCACAGCCACATTACGAATGAACCAGCTGGGCCTGTATTCCCATGAGATTTTGCTGTTTCATAAACCATTTCAAAGGCACCAACCCACGTGCCATTGTTTCCATGGCCACCCAGAACCAGACTCTGCTGGCCTAGGTATTGGCCCTGGGCATACAATCCTCGGTCCCTTCAGTTGTAACCCCCCCCACCCCGCCCCAATCGTCTTGGCGCTCCGTAGGCCCAACTCTTCCATCTCCCTGTCCCCCTGTGGCCTTAATAGCGAAGCTGAGGTGGTGGGGTAAGATAGAAACAATCCTGTTTTAGAACTATTTTAACTTATTTTTTGTCTAGTTTAGTTTATGGTGAAGTCATCCCCTACTCAGTCCTGCTCATTTGCTCCTTATCCCTAACCGCACGTTTTTGTAGAACCTGTTCTTTTAGTAGAAACTCCTGTACTTTTTGTATTGCAGTTAAAATAAATGTTTTTTTGCTGTAGATTTTTAAACTCAACAACCCTTCATGGTGGAAGCGTCTCATCCGTCGGTAACCCCGTGATATCATGATCAACTCAGAGGTTGGCCTAACTGAAATGGGGGTAGCACTCTTCTGTAACCAGGCTCACATAGAAAACCAACTGTGAACCATTCCTGCTGTGGCTGGTTCACGTAGGAACAGCCGGTTCATCGGCTATACCCATACCCAACATATTTCTGAGCGGTCAGGGAGATGGAGCATACATTGCCTATCCCAGGAATGGCCCAGCTAGAGTGCAAGGTTCACTTCCCTCTTAATTGGGTTTAGAATCCCTGCGCCCAATATGTACATCGGGGTCTGTAACCACTTGCCGTGGCCTTGTTCCCAACGTTGGCCACTGGTGCTTATACACTCGCTCCCACTTCGTCTCCCTGTCTACTATGGCATTGAGCAAGGTTCCCTGGGGATAGAGTCCTCCGGTCAGATGCAGACCCACTGGCTTCAAGTGTCCCTTCTGTTACTAAACGTCGACACAAAGGGGAAAGTCAGCACCACCACAAGCTCCCCCCCCCCTTCCAAGCCCGATCACCTCCACCTGCTAGAAGGTGGCTGTGCCTTGTTCATGGGCATGACCTAGTAGTGGCCAACCCTCAATATGTATGTTAAGTCAAAGTTTGCACGTGTTCAAATGAACTTCGGATGGTGCTTATCAACTCTGAAATTTGCTAAGTGAATTAAATCTATAAAATTAACTTTAAAGTCCGTGACGTGCTTTAGTGATCCTCATAAAATATAACACTCGACAAAAGCGATCAAAACAACGGCACATGGAGACAGACATCGTGTGAGCCTGCACTACCCACTAGGCGATCTCACCATTTGTTTTACATCTTGTGTACATATATATAAAAACGCAAGGACAAACAAGCTCTGAGAAGGACACTACGACCATGAAATAAAAGAAACATGATAGTAAGCCCCATTGTTTTAAGTGAGATATAATAACAACGTGCACCAACTCCAAGGCGACACTAAGTGTACAAACTACTGAAGTAGCAGAATAAGTAGGTGGATTCATATTCTTGGTTCTTTCGGTAAAGTCACGTAGAAGGGAAATAATAAAATTATATTAATATAAAACAATAAAAATTCTCACGACGTTTCGACTGCAACACAAGCAATCATCATCATCAGCAGTCACGAAAGCAGGTGGATTGTTACATTTGACTTTTGGCAAGTTTTCGCAACTGATGCAGGTTCCCCACCCCCCCACCCAAAAAAATATTGCCACCTCACCTTGCCACAGGCAATTTCCCTGAGGGCCATGAAGGCGCAGTCACACGCTTGTTATTGAAGGCCATCACTGAGCCTGCTCAGCTTCGCTTGCCAAACAGTGCACACTGAGGCTGGTAAACAACAGCCAAACGCAGCTCCCACGTCAAGTGATATTTACAGACATGTGGTCTGGACACGCTACATGCGGGGTCAGTTTAGACCAGCTCACAGTTCTGGGAACGGCCGGTCAAAATAGGCTCATTGTTATGGTTAATTGTATCAAATATATCCTTTGCTGCGCTTGGTTCGAGTGCTTTTGGTACTTAATTGCACAGCAGTAGTTTACGCTGCATCGACAATGTTCAAATTGTTCCACTTTAAACAAGTTACACCAATGATATTTCATTTCCCATACCATATATCGCCTATGTATATTGAGCATGTAAATAAGGCAATACAGTAGAACCTCTGGTCATGAACGCTTCTGACCATGACCAAATCGGGTTACGACCAAAAAATTCACGAAAATTTTGAATCTGGTGACGAACACAAACTCGGGTGGCGATCAAACACGACCGCGGCCGATTTCCCCTTCCACGCCATTTTTTTTTGTAAGCGCCAAATTTCCTGTTGTTACAACAAACAACACAAAGCGTAACAGTTATATTTCGATTTAAAGCTTTCGTGACTGCAGGGATTCATCTTCTTGGTTCTTTCGGTAAAGTCACGTAGAAGGGAAGTAATAAAATAATAAAAATAAAACATAATAAAATAATTCTCATGACGTTTCGGCCACAACGCAAGCAGCCGTCATCAGGTGAAAACCAGGTCTGTCGAGGCGACAGCGTCTGAATGAAACAGCACCATGCTTGGAGCATATATTTAAGCTGGGTTGGAAGGGGGGGAAAGGGCGCCTCGACAGACCTGGTTTTCACCTGATGACGGCTGCTTGCGTTGTGGCCGAAACGTTGTGAGAATTATTTTATGTTTTATTTTTATTATTTTATTACTTCCCTTCTATGTGACTTTACCGAAAGAACCAAGAAGACGTAGCAGTTATGTATATATATCACTTTTGTTATATAAAATTCCTAGTAAGATATTAATTTTGTGAGTGTAGTCATACCCCTCCCCCCTCATTGAAGCCGTAATTTAGAGAGTGAAAGCGCCGAGTATGTAAATCGCTAACATAAGAACCCGTTAATCTCTTCTCGCATCATTCATACGATGATGCGGTGAAGTAAACGTTCATACGATATTACGGTGAATGCTTCCAAAAAAATACTGTACCCAAATATTACTGTTAACTTACTTTCAATAGAAACATGAATTGCTCATACGAATATTCTCTCTCTCTCAGAATCGACTGACTGATGTAGCAGACGAAACAATCATCTTGTTGAACGATTCTAAACCTTGATGCGGCAATGTAAGTTTTCTCTGTTGTTCAAGGTTTTCTCAGTGTTATTCAATGTTTTTACATTTAGTTTACTATTACACTGTGAATTATATGGCATAATTAACTATTTTTGTGGTTAAGAATCTTTAAAAAACAATATTTATATACAGTTCGTAGGAGTCTGGAACGGATTAATCGTATTTACATACAATCCAATGGGGAAATTAGGTTCAAGTCACAACCAAATCAGGTTGTGACCAAAGTTATGGAACAAATTATGGTCGTGACCAGAGGTTCTACTGTACAAACATCCAATTATTCCATGTAAATTAACTATTGCATCATGAACCACGAGTTTTGCATGAGCCATACCAATCTCCCAAAATTGGCACTGAAGATGCATCAGCCTGCCAAAGCTTAATGTGTCAATTAAACATTCTATTGACAGATATCTCACTTGCGTCAGTGCCGAGTGCCAATCAAAGCAGTGCAGAATAACACACGTTCCTTCTAACACACTCTCGATTAGTGCCTGGTACAAAATAGCTTTGGATACATTTTGTAATGTAAATCGATTTTGTGGTGTCTCGGTGGTGAGATGTTAACTACCAGAGGTCGTGGATTCGATCCTGACCCTGGCGCCTGTATATTTGCAAGTTTTCTCTGTAGTTGCGTGGATCTTTCTCCGGGTGCTCCGGTTTCTTCCTCCACATTTATAAACATATACGTCTTAGAGTATTTGGCTGCGATAACTTTCCACGTGATAAGCCACTTTGTTGGGCTATCATTTGTGGCCAGGTCGATTCTGAAAAAGAGCTAGGTAGCTCAGTGGGCTTTACCTGCTAAAATAAAAATAAATGTTTTAAATTATAACAGTAAATAGAGTATACACCAAGGATTAATGAGCCAATAGCTTCTGTTTCTACAAGTTGTAAGAATCTATCTTCTATGAATGGAAAGTTGTAGTGTTACTCATAATACTTCAGTTGCATTTACGAGATTAATTGCAGATGACTGAGATTGAGATGTGATCCGCTACTTCACTGACTTTTAAGCTTAAATCAACGACCTTAGTTTCATCAAGAATCATATTTTTTTGAAATGTAAAATCGATTCATGTTTAACTTGTAGATTTATATTTGTTTAAGCTTTTAAGTATAAAATTACTGATGAACTTGCACAACTTTGAACGGCCATCAGTTTTAGTCAAGTTATTATTGGGGGTTGAACTTTAGAAATATCAATCGATTCTTCATGATCTGCATGAGGAAAACACGCTTTTGGTGAAGACATCTTCCATAAACCTGCAGCCATATCAAAACACATTGTAGTTATGTTTACAAAGATCAGCTTTCCAATAAAAAAAAGGATGCCTTGAACTTACCAGCTTTGTAAGCAATGGCATTTGACTTCACCAGAGACTTCTTATAACAGAGGTAAACATCTGAGCCCCACTGCAAGAGAAGATAAATAAATCAATTCAAGATACCAAGCTGCACCAACAACACAAAACCTTAAAAATGCAAAGCACTTGCCCAACACATATTAGGCTCAGTTAAGCCCAAAATAAATCACTCCAGATGCAAACCATTCACATTTCCTGAGCAAAAAACATTTAAGCACGAATGCAGAGCAAATGTTTAAAATCCATTTACCACGTGCACCAAAAATGACACCACAGTTGTCTGTGAAATGAGCAGGAAACGAGTTATTATTCCAGATCGATTACGATTAAGCGGAGGAAGCAGTTTGTGCTTGGATGGATAAAAAAAAACAAGCAGTACTCTGGGGAAGGGAAAACAAAACGCGAGCCTTTCAACACATGCCACAATAACGGATGATGAGAGGAAGCATGCAGTACTCCGTGGCACTCTGGCCCTGGCTTGTAGTTTGCTTGTAATAGTTCATGAATTCGTTTTTTTATGACGAGCCACTTTGTTGACCTATCATTTGTGGCCAGGTCGCTTCTGAAAAAGGGCTATAAAGCTCAGTTGGGCATTACCTGATGAAATAAAAAAAAGTTTCGTTTTTAGTTTAGTTTATCGAGGTGGCCTTGTGTGAACTGCATCTCAGCCAGACCTAAGTTTCCTTTCCCAGAAAACTAGCGAAAAACGAAAGAAGGAACCCTTAAAAAAGCTGCGGTTAAATGTTTCGTAAAAAGTGAATGTTACAATTTACATCTATGCAAAAGTAAGATCAATAAAAAATTAACCCGTAAAAACAAAGTTTTTCACTATAAATCCTTTATATGCATGGCGGCTAGAGTCCTCTCGTCCTCTGGCTTGAGATGGCTGCCACCTATGGGTCAGATGATTGCCTGCCACCATTAAGCAATTGGTAATTAAATAAATAAATAAATTCCTAAAAAGTGTAAAGTTATGGAAAAAAATTTTCACAAAAATAAATTGTCACGCACAACGAGTCTGTGTGCAAAATGTCAGCTCGATTGGATCACGGGAAGTGGGTTAAAAAACGACCGAAAGATTTGCACGGTCGTAAGTGCGCAAGCAAGCAAGTGAACTTAATATAAAGGATTTAAAAAAGGATGGCACTTGATGCGAAGTTCAGAGTCCATGGACAAACTGGCCCCTGCCATACTAATGTGGATATTGACCACTGGCTCGGAGTCAACATTGGCGATGAGCACCATCTCACGGTGATTTGGGTAGGGAGACACTTTGATTTCTGACCGAATATACATTAAATTTCGATTCAAGAATACAAATATGCATTGTCTAAGTATAGATTTCACACACTTCAAAAAACAAGAGTAAGAAATTATACAGTATGCAATATGATGAATGTCCCACTCTAAACAGGAAGCACCATATTCTATTACTGAATGCTGAAGTGTTGCAGTTGATATGTACATGTAGAGACAGCCCTTTTAAAAATCCACTGCTGCATGAAGGTCTTCCTATACTGTGTGTGGATCGTATGAATATTTTTCCCTACTTCACCACGCTGGGCAGAGCAGGTTGGTTATGGCGACAGTTGATCAAATTTATATTACACTCATACGATGACTTCCTGGCCAGGTATTCCTCACAAAAAGGATTTAAATTTTAATAGGTTCCCTAAAATAATTATTACTTTTTTGGCCCATGTACCACTCAACCGATGCAAACATTCCCCAGACCACCCAATTCCCCCCACCCCTGGTGACAAAATGCATTCACGTCTCTCTAAATACTAGTAACACAAAATGATTCATATTACCTGGAACATAAACATCTTTTTTTATGCAGCTATAAAGTTTTTTTGACGGGGGGGGGGGGGAGCATTTAGATCTTAGAGTTCAGGTAGTTTAATCAGGGAAATTTACCTAATTACATTTATTAATTAAACATCAAGAGTATAACATTAATTAATGTCCGAAACCAAGGGTACAAACATTGGCATTATTGTCCGTATCGACCTGTGTTTGCATGGACCACCTGAAGGACCGTCGTGGACCACACTCTGAGAACAACTGCTTTAGCCCAACGGAAAATTACAAATGAGGCTGAACAAACAACAAAATAAGATTGTAAACCCGAATAATGCTCATTTATCAAACTGCATAGGGTTTGACATGAGCCTTAACGGGCACAGATTACTTCCCTTGCTATCTACAGAGAAGAAACAAAGAAAAAAAATCTATGCTTTTTTACAACGTGAGGCCAACACATGTTCGCGTGACAAAGAATCATAATACTTCCCAAATCAGGTCACGCACATACCATATAGTAGCTACGTTAATTCCTGAAATAATAATACAAATTTATACTGCCACTGAAATGTTAAATGCTTGAATAAATCCACATAGGATTAACTAATGGTTAGATTTAACCACAGTGGAAATAAATATATACAAGGATTTTGCAGATCAGTAGGTCAAAGGCTTTGGCATCAAGCTACCCAGGAAGGAAATGCTTGACCCTGCTAAATGGGAAGCACCCAAGCTGCTTTTGATCTCAGGAGTTGACCGCAAAACAGCTGTGGCTGCTGCCTCGGAATTCCCAAACATGGGCGCAACATGAAACGCGTTCCATGTTTTGAAACCGACAGGGCAAACCCAACACGACCCCAACGCTTATTTCCACCGATAGAATCGAAGCAAGATAATTTTGTAAATTTGCAACACATGCAGCATCAAGTGTTTTGAAAGTTACCAGATTAGCTTTTCCTTCATTGAAATTAATTACGTCTTTTTTAATTATTCCAGCGCAATACGGAGTGCAATATCAGGCCCATTATTTACGCGAATAGATTTTGGATTCGTTTGAAAGGTTTCTGTGTTCACTTTCACGGTCTCTATCGTCAAGGGAAGATGCATTTACATTTTCTAATCACCAGATGTGAATCTTGCTGAGACACATGTTAGACTTAATGACTTCCCATAGTCCAAGGCCACCTATATTCTCAAGGTAATCGTCTCTTTGTAGCATTCTGCATACAACATTGATGTAAGTCAGTATTACATTCACTCCTCTGTGATGCTTTATATCAGAGGATCATGATCATGGTGGTCGTGTAACATGGACGCAGTGCAACCAACTCCCCGTTTCAAGTGTGCAGTTTGAATCGGCATGATTCTAGGGCTACATTTTGGGCTCACATCCAATTATAAAGGGGATGGTAACGAAACTCAAAATTGCACCGCAGAGATAAAGCAGTGCTGTTTTGTTTACATTTCATGTTCATTAATGATCTCAGGTTATGTTATTGTACGACACATACATTGTAAAAACACAAGGGTGAAGATAAATATTATACTTTGAGATGGGTGGACTTCGATGGAATCACTGGGCGAAACTACCACGCGATAATAGCTACTTGTGACAGTGGTGGTCATTACAGGAGGTCATTGCATATTTTGACCGACAGTCACTCACATATCCACCCTGACCAATTAACTGCCAATACCCAGTGCAGCATTTATGCATGGCATAACCGTCACCTTCAGCAGATGTTCACAAATCAAAAACTTTTCCCATGCAGTAATGTATTTTTAATGGATGTATGGACGTTAAACTTCTTTCGCACCACACGTATCCAACTGTGCTAATTGGAGGGGTGGGAAGTCATGTGTACAAGTGCTTGCTTCAAAATTACAGTCATGCATCTTCCCAATTATCAAACAGTTTGCACATCATTTGTGTCCAGTGACCTCGTTGTAAATGGTGTGACTGTCATTTTCTATAAAGGTTCCAAAATCTATTCCTCAATTCTCTGCCGGTCGGACACGCAACGTTGAACGGTGTCGGTAAAAGTGAATGCTGCAAAAAATGATCGATTAAAGGCGGACGTGCACAGTATATATACTTACCATGCCAGAGTTCAGGTTGCGGTCAACCTTGCAGAAGGTGTGCGGTGGACTCTCCCCCTTGTTCGCCACAATGACACATATGTCGGTGACGGCCAGCGTGTTCTGGGTGTTCTGGTCGGTGGCGCGACGGAACGTGAGCAGAATGCGCTGGGACACGGCGCTGCTGTTGTTTACGTTGGCGCAGCGTCCGTACGGGGTGGTCTCGACAAGCTCGCAGCCCGGCCTCAGTCGGTCCTTCCACTCGTACAGGACCCTGCAGGCAATAACAGCGACGACGATGACGACGCCATTCGCTTGCGAGATGCTCTGCTCGAGTCCAGCCAAAGACGTTTCGCTTGGAAACAATATTTTTGTTTTATTGTTTGAATTGCATACAGAGGATACGTACACGAACGGAATACATCGGTTGAGCGTCAAAACAATGAGCGATGCCTCAAGGCAGCAGTCTGTTAGGAGTTTGACATTAAAATAATTAATTTCTGTTTTCTGTGACTGGTTGCAAAGAAGATCAAAAAAATATAAAAGGAAATGTTTAAAATTTTACAATTTTAAGGAAGACATTTAAAGGAAAAATTTGAATTACCGTTTTTTTTCTGTTGAAAGAAATTTCATACATTTAAATTCTTTTTATGAAACGAAAAAGGAATTTTTTTCGAACCATAACCCACGGAAGAATGCGTTCCAGTGAAGTACATTTTTTCTGGCGGCTGGAAACTACGTTTTATGGTGACCAGCTTCATAATCGCCGCAACCATCGGGTCAACGCATGCCAGAAGAATTGGGTTACCAATCAGACAGGATAATTAAAACCTCAAGCTTTGCCTCCCTATAAAAATGCCTTCCTGAACCATATATGTCATACACTGGAAGGCCTCTAAGACTGCACGTCAGGATATCCTGTATCCTGCTTCAAACTCCTACAAACATTCCACATGTGCCTATAAAAGTTAAATATGCACATTTGTTTGAAAGCTGATTTTTTTTTATGCTGAAATCAAATAAATCACATGTCTACTTGGCCCTTAGCTACAGAATAATAATTGTATGCATGCCATCAGTCTGGATGACGTGCATTTAATTACAGTGCATGAACATTCAAATATTAAAAATTACTATACAATACTTATTATCATGAGATGCAGTACTGTATATTAAACATTTTTGTTACCTAATATACTACTTATACAAAACGCTCACATCTTTCTAAATTAAAAGTTTAAATTATTATCTGAAATCAACACTTCATTCAATTGAAACCTCCCAAAGATATATTCTTTTGTTAGTTCCTTCCACATTCTCTTTGCCAGAGTCCTGCAATAACACGTAGCTTTTAATTCACCCCTCCCCCCCCATGTATTTACCTGTTTTAGTGCGAGTAGTACTACATCATACAAGAGCCTTCCGTTCTCAGAGGCGGACCTTACTACTCAAAGGGACATCAAAGAAGAAGTCTGCCCCACGAGAACAAGCTAGGGCAGCATAGAATGATAAACTGGGACGTGTGGCACTGCATGTAAAGCTTGGAAAGCACAGCAAGAGGTGGGGAGTGAGGCTCTGCGAATATTATTGTTCCTCCTTGTATGTCTTGTGTCCTTTCACAAGTGAATGACAACGATAGGACCACTGAGGCGTTACCAACTCTCGCGTTATGTAAAGTAGCACAAGTCCACCACTCCCTGAAATAACAAACCTCACGAACTGAAGAAGCGGGAGAACAGTAGGAGGGATCAGCTACAAATTATATCCACACGTTTCGTTAAAGCCTTTAAATGCAAGAAATGTATAAATATTGAAGACTGCTTATTAGGTGTTGGATGGCCTGTGTGTGCTTGAACCGAGCTAGTTTCTATGGAGGCAACAGTTTAGAAATGTGGTGAATCACTGGTGTCTCTCCTGCCGAAGCACGGTTTAAGCACGAAAGAAGTTCAGCATACATGCATACATGGTTATTGTAGACCTCCTCTCATGAGCAAGTGTTGGTCATTGTGTACCATGTAAGACCAATCCTATGTTTGAAATAACCTGAAACTAAGCTGTAAAAAAAAAGTTATGACTGGCCAAAAGTGCGTTGTTAAAAACTTTCTACGTTAAAAATATAGTTTTAATCATTAAAGGAATATTCATTAACTAATCCTGAATATAAGTAGATATCGAATCTTATTCAATTTAATTTAAAAACGGCGCAGGTCCATGTAAATGAGGGAGATACGCTCGATATGCACCAAAGCTCAGATTACAACGAAAACGATTTAAATTTATTACAATTGCATTATGCTCATAAATTGAGATTTGATTTGGTTTAAAGTGACAATTCATACCTCGCCTATCTTCTTTCACCGATGCAGAAATAACAGTTAATTTTATTGATCACATACATTATGCATCATTGTGTTAGACATTCACATTGGGAAATGGATTACTTTTTAAAACAGAAAGGTGATATACCAACTGATTATAATCTCAAATATAAACACGCGTAAAATATAATTTTTCCAAATTGGTGACTGATTCAAAATTGTAAATTAAAGGGCAAGCATTGAAGACCTTCATCTGCAGAGATGTGCATCCAGGATATAATAAGCTTGAAATTATGGTACGTCATATTTTCAAATGATGATTAACTAAAATTTGTGGATTTTTTTTTTAAATGTGCATTATTCAGCAAGTACATCATTTGTAATTATCGCTCACTGGTTTTATTTCACGCTTAAACATTTCCTTAAAATAATTCATTTCACAACTTGTTATTTTGTAGTGCTGTTTATTTTTCCCACGGGTGATTTATTTATACGTACAAATTTACTCCAGTTGTTAAGCATGGTTGATAGTAAAATCATATTGACGGATAATTTGAGTGGGTGCCAGTAAAAGTTCGTTAACATGGACCAACATAACATGTTAGCGGTGATGCACATTCCGAAGACTGTGGCCACTCTGTGACCGTAGCAAGAGCCTAAATCCCAAACTACAGAATTAAACAGAACTAACTTGTAAACAAAATCCAGCGGAGAGGCATTGTGACGGAGCACTTGACTCCCAATTGGAAAATTATGAGTCCAAATATCATTCAGAAAGTGACTCAGCCCATCATCTCTCTGGGGTTAAAAAAATAACTACCACTTTGTGGGAAATTAAAATATAAGTTCCACTGGACACAATGTGTAAAATGTTGGACATTTTAAAATGTTAAATAACTGCTTACAATAAAATAGAATAATTATTTCATAATTTAAATTTGTGACAGGGCACAGTATTTACTCAGTCTTGGTCAGTGAGAATCACTCAAGAGGACGTTGAACTACAGAAAATATCTGAGGCAGCCAGGCGGTGAGGTGTCAACAATTGCCCATGTATCAGTAGGTATAAATATTAAGACAATTTTAAGATGTTTTCAGCCAATTCATGTGTGCATGCACGGGAGATTAAACCGGAGCACCTGGAGAAACCCTACACACTATCCCATTTAGATGTAACAGATGGAGTCCACATTTGCTGTACTGCCTTCTCCTGGCAAGCCAGAGAGTGGCACCTCAATGCCCATGGGAAAGGAGTTTCACAACATTTGTACTACCCACCAACCCACAAGAGTAATAATTGTTCGTAACTAAAAACAACAATCCTTACGCATGTAATTCCACTGCTGGATGAGGGCATCCCCACTGCGGATCGTGGCAGCTAATGACCATACTTCACCACGTTGGTCAGTGCGTGTTGGTGTTAGGCTGTACATATGACCATAGTTTTACTACGCTTCAAAACTGGATGCCTTCCGAGGTCTTATGAATTAAGGTAATGGTGTTTTGGTCTCCGATGCGTTTTCAAAGTTGCAGAACAAGCTCCCGAATGTGAATCAAAACGTCACACGCATATCATGTTCAGCAAAACGTGGTACAACCCAAGTACGCATGGAAAACCTGCACAGCGCAAACGTACGCAGCATGTTATCCCCCCCCCCCCAATATTGACTTGATGGAGCAAACTCACCCAAGGTCGGTGAGCGGAGCTTTGTCTCTGCCCCTGCGGTAGCACAAGTAGATCTGTGGACTCTTGAGGCTGCCGTGGTTGAGGTCGGCGGGCAGGCCCAGCGGCGTGCTCTCGATGCACGTGAAGCCCTGCGGCACCTCCTCGCCGTGTGACTTCACGATGACGGCCACATCCGTGATGGGCGCCTTCGGCCGGGCGGTGCGCGGTCCCCCGTCCGATTGGCTCATCTCCTCCTCCAGGGGCCGCGACGTGTCCGTCAGGCCGGCCAGCACAAAGTAGTCTGCCACACGGGGGCCCTTTTCTTCCAGCATGCTGGAATAAAGGCTGGCGATGAAAAGGGTTTCACTTGTTACAACAGGCGTGAACGTATCCTTAGTACATACACGAGCGACTCTGCTGTGTGTGGTGTAATGGTTAACACACTAGGCTTAGAAGTTCTGAAGTTATGAGAGCTGAAACAATGGAGCAAGTTTTTTTAACCCCCCCCTCGCCCACCTATGTCCACCCAGCAGTTAATAGATGAGTAGGTTGTGTTTGATGGATTAAGATCAAGTGGAGATACTCCCACTTCTTCCGAGAGCAGGCCAAATACACTCTCAAGGGGCTCTGTAGAGCTCCCTCTAGTGGAGGTGCTTCTACCAGCAGTGGCGTGAGAAATAAAATTGAGGGGCACCTTTATTTTTTTACTTTTGCGGGGAAAATTTAGGCAGCTGTGCAGTGTTTTTGTTTAGCATGCATAATGCACAAGCGCTATCTTGACAAATTAATGCCATGGTCCATTTGCCAACAATAAAGCACTTAATTTGAAAATTTACTCGTAACAAAATTTTGCAGGATGTCCTACCTTAACCACGATGTCTCGACCACATCACACACTCGTTGTGATCTGAGTTTTATTTTAAAGTAAATTCTTAAAACCATTATTAAACATAATTGGTAACTATTAGCCTGGCGTTCATCTCATATCTGTCCTGACACTGAAGTTAACGTCACAATAACAGTCCTAATACTTTAATTCTAGATTTGAAGTTTTCGTGACTGCAAGGATTCATACTCTTTGGTTTTTTTTTGGTAAAGTCACGTAGGTAAAAAATAAATAAATGAAAACAACTAAATTAAATCACGACGTTTCGGAGGCAACACAAGCTTCCTTCATCAGGTGTAAAAAAGGCACGGCAAAATAACTGTAACTCTCGCTACAGTTATTTTGTTGTGCCTTTTTTACATCTGATGAAGGATGCTTGTGTTGCCTCCGAAACGTCGTGATTTAATTTAGTTGTTTTCATTTATTTTATTGATTGTTTTACCTACGTAATTTTACCGAAAAAAAACAAAGAGTATGAGTCCTAGTAATAGGTTTTTACCCTTTCAACTGGTACAAAAACTGACACCTTTATACAAGGCATCATGTTTGCAATAACCACAACATAAGCAGTCAAAATGCAAACAAAAAGAAACAACTCTGATGATGATAATGCTATGCACTGTCCTTGAAGTTGATTGGTCCACACCCGAGACAGCTTTTCTTAGAGCCTAGTCTCCATTGGTGTTGGACCAGATGACGCCGAAAGGCGTACAACTCAAAGACAGCGCACTATCAGAGTATTGAGAGCTCGGGGTAAGCATTTACACTATGAGACCTCCTTTACCAGTGGCAAAATATAGTAATAGGTTTTTACCCTTTCAACTGGTACAAAAACTGACACCTTTATACAAGGCATCATGTTTGACAACTTTATACAAGTATGAGTCCTAATTCTCTTACGACCCCCCAGGGCCTGTGGTTCTGAGACTCTCTTGAGACCGTGGCGTCACACCAGGAAGTGCCCTGTTTGCATCCGGCCACTCGAAGCCACAGGTCTGATGCAATTATCCCAATTTCACCCTCATCTTGTTCACGTGCAAACACGCGGGCGATGAAGCGAAAGGGTCCTCTCCTCCTCTCCCTTGTCCAGAAGCCATGGCTCAGGCAAAAGGAGCAGTCCGTTCGCAGTCACGTTCAACATAACACCACTTGAGGCAACGTGGCAAATTTGCACCTCCCCACTGTTTTTCGGAGCAGATAGGAATTGCACCACCAGACCTTTCTCACTGGAGCGATGAGGAATATGAGTCGTGCTCATTAACAATTAATATAAAAGTGGGTGATGCAACCTTTTTGTTTTGTTTCACACAGACATAGCTCCGTGTGTTTGGCCCATGGCCAGCCACAATTCGCAAGAGACCCATGTCTCCCGCTTGTACACAACAGAGACACATTATGTTGTGCTGGCTGCTCTATTCTAAGTGCCCCCACCCCCCCCACCCCTCGGCTATAAATGAACGTTTTTCTTATCCGTCACTCTTTTTATCTTGGAATCTTTAGGGGAAATGAGCATTTATGAATAATTACAGTTTGCGGCCGCTGCCTGCTGCAGACAAAAACATTTTAATATAAAAGGTGAGGAAAGAATACTGCCGATTATCTTTGCATCCTCTTTATGTCATAATCGAAGAGCTATTAGGCGGGTAATACCCCATCAATTATTTACTGATTGGATGTAAATGCATATTTTCTTAAAACTGTAAGAAAGCTTTTTCTCAAATCCATATGACAGTAAATCTTCAGGCAGGTTTTAGAGGACATCATCTAGCCACATTTTCTCCTTACAAACCTAAACTGTGCAATGCATTGGCTTTTATGTGAGCATGATGCAGACTACGTGATGAGTGCCGCTCAGTCATTCAGAGGCCTCATGTACACCTGGAGAAAACACTGGGTGAGCAACTGTACAGGCGGTGAACCCACCCGTGATGTCATGTCGGTCCCCTGGCACGAATACTAACGCTGAATGAGCTCACAATCACACTGCTATTCTTTACTGCTTTGGTTTTACAGCTGGGCAGAAAGGGAGTAATGATACTGACAACGCATGCATCCACACGTAAGGAATCCCATAAATACACACAAGTTTACCAGCATAATTGCCAAGTGGTACGAATTTCACCCTCATAATGGAGACCCCTTAATATGGAAGTGGCAAAAAATAGATAAATTAAGACATTAAGATAACAATACTATGTTTTCTTCTCTCTACCATTGCAGCAGACGAGCACATTAGAACCGGTGATGGGGGTGCTGTGGGCTCCATCAATGAGCAGATAAGATCATGAGTAAGGTGGTGGCGGCAGCAGCAGCCACTCACTGACATGCTTTAGCATCTTTGAAGCCATGGTCTGCGTGTGTGGAATGTCATGACCTATCACTATGGAATGCCATGTATCCCAGTTACCAGGCCAACACGGACTCAGAGGAACTACAAAAATAAACGGAAAATGTTGGAAAAATTTTTTCGATCAATGAATAAGCATGTTGAAATCATCTAATGCTGACAGGTCAGCATTGGCGAAGTGAGCTGTCAATGTTTAAACCACATAGTTTGCACGCCATTGAATTGTGATGACTAACAGGAAAAACTCCACGGCAGGGCTACACAAATGTTTAGAAAGTGCAGTTAGCTGTTGCTATGGGACTGATTATTTCCAAAGACATTGGTATGTGAACCAGCAATGAGTACAATGCTTAATCACAAAGCACCTCCAATTAGCACAACTGGCTACGCACCGTGCGAAAGAAGTTCAACATATACATGTATGTCATTAAAACAAGTTGAGTTATTATCGTGCAATCCAATCAGATTTGGATTTATAGAGTATCTTAATAAAGCCGCAGTTCAAACTGTTGTACAGAAACTTGTGGAAGCAGTCAGGCATAGGCGGAGGTAAAAATCGAGCTCTTGAACCATGACTTGAGAAGGGGCAAGGGAGTCAACAGCTCAGATGGGTCGAGGAAAACAAATTCCAGACCATGGGGCAGTGGAGTGTTTACAGCAGGGGTTTGCAACCCTTTCCGAGTGAGGTGCCACAATGAGAATATCCCAGCTCCCAGTGGGACGAGAGGGCCATGTGATAACTTAACAAACGTGACGTAGTGTTGGTGAACAATGTGGGTGTGGTAGCCAGTTCATGGTGAACAGCCCATCGAGTGTTTGATTGCCACTCTTTGGTTCTTTCGGTAAAGTCACGTAGATAGAAAAGAAAAATAGCTAATAGATCACGACGTTTCGATAGCAACACAAGCCTTAGTCTTCAGGTGAAACAACACAGCAGGCGGACTGCTGAGGCAGGAGGAAACGTAGCGAGAGCGCTACTGCAGTCAAAGGTTATATACGTTTGTGGTGGGTACAACCCAAGGGGAAGTCGGCGGGGCTAGGGATGGAATTTGCAAGTAAATGTAAGGCGAGCAAACCTCAGCTAATCCAGGGGAGGGAGGGAGGAGAGGGGGAGAGGATGCCGTAACGGACGAGAGGGTGGGCGTGAAATTTACAGAGGGACCAAGGTGATAGAGAGAAAAAAGCTATCGAATTTAGCAAACTTTAGAAATGTAATGCAACTCAGAGAGTCGGCCAACACAACAGTTACCACTATACCTTCAACGTCCTTCCAAAGATTGCTAAATTTTGCATCCATCGTCTCGGTTGAAGTCATGTGTGGAAATCCTCCCCGTAGAGGCGGTTCAATCTGGATTTGAAGCTTTCGTGACTGCAGGAAATAATACTCTATGGTTCTTTCGATAAAGTCACGTACCCTTAGGTTGTACCCACCACAAATGTGTATAACCTCTGGTTGCAGTCGCTCTCTCGCTACGTTTCCTCCTGCCTCAGCAGTCCGCCTGCTGTGTTGTTTCACCTGAAGACGATGGCTTGTGTTGCTATCGAAACGTCGTGATCTATTAGCTAGTGACCAATTGGCATGTTCTGTTTACATGACAACCCTTACTAGTTGGCTGTGTCGGGTGGTGGCGGGTTTTAACGACACATTTATATATTTACACGATCTCACCCAAAAAAAACCTCTATTATGGATGATATTGGTCGCGAAAGTCTACGTGTTTAACAGAGCTATGTAGCTCAGTGGGGCTACCTAGTAAAATAAAGAGTTGAGTTTCTTTCAGTCTTCGGCCTGTCAAAATCACAAGGTCGGTCGTATCTGGGCCACAGGCCACACCCATCGGTATATACAGCAATATGATACATTTTACAAGACTAATCCAAGGAGAACATGGATAGGTGACCGTCTGGACAGGTTATTCAAAAAGACACTTTACATTTACAAAAAAGTCCCTTATTTTGCATACAATTTGATGAGCATGTATAGGAAATGTTATGCAATCATAAGCAATCGTAACCAGTTAAAAGGCGCTGTTGTAAGCAGGCACACTACTGCCTTAATGTTGAGCTGTCTCACCCCATCTGGATACAAATCCGACAAGCAAACATAAGCAA